TCACCATTAGCATCACAGGGTTAATAAATTATTAGATTGACTTAAAAGTTACGAAAATTAACTTTGAGAATGATGAGAATTAACCGATCTGTTTTGTTTCTTTTATTAATTTGCCTTTTGGTTTTTGGAGCCTCTAGAGCAGTGGTCTCCAAACTTTTTTGATTGTGCACCCCTATCAGTAAAAAATTTTTGAGCACGCACCCCCAATATATGTATATTTATATTTGCGCACCCCTATCAGTAAAAAATTTTTGAGCACGCACCCCCAATATATGTATATTTATATAAATATAAATAAGTCCTAATATTTTCTTCCTGCACCCCAATGGATCGTCTTGCGCCCCCCACTTTGGAGACCACTGCTCTAGAGCAGCATTTCTCAACCTGTGGGTCGTGACCCAAAAGTGGGTCACAAGAAGATGTGAAAGGCTTGGAAGCAAACTTTAAAAATGGATCAAAAACTTTGAAAACGGAAAAACGTGGGAAACTGTGGGTTTTGCGTTGCAGGCTGGCAGAGTTTCAGCCTGCAAGGGGCTGCTTGGGGACCCCCCATGCCCTACACCCCCACCCTTTGCCCCTCACTTGGGGGCTAGAGCAGTGGGCAGAGGGTCGACAGTGAGAGATGCTGGGTCGGGACTGGCCATTGATGTTTACAAACGGGTCCTGGCACAAAAAAAAGGTTGGGAACCACTGCTCTGGAGTTCCCATTTTCAAGCTTGTTATTTGCAACAGCGAGTATTGGAAAGGTATTCTTTTTAAAATTAAAATGGAGATTCTAATATAATTGCTTGACTGTTGGATCTGGTTCTTGAAAAAAAAAAGATCAGAGGGGGGCAAAAGAAAAAAAAAATCCCACAAACAGCACTGCAATTTTGGTTTGTAATATCTCTGTGTGTGTTTTCTGGTCTGTTAAATGGGTATAACTTTAATGATGAGTGAATCTATTCATGAATGTTTGTAGGAGTTCCCAGACTTCAGAGGAGTCTGGGGAGGGAATAGAAGTACATAAGTGAAGTCACGTGGTAGTATTTCTGGAAGCATGCATGAGCCTTTCTGGCACAGCTGCTTGTATGTGCAAATGTGAAGGTAATTTGCTGTCAATTTATAGAAACGTAACTTTGACATTCTGCCTTCTCAGTGCAGTAATGGTGGGATGCCTGCTCCTGCCCAAATTAACACGTGTGGGTGTTTGGTGTCTGTCAAGATTAGACCCTAAAGTTGCATGTCTTCACTGCTAAAAAAGAAATAAATCACAACTGCCTTTATTTAAATCCCTAGTTTTTTATGTCACAGTCATACGTTTGCTAATCAAACTTGTTTGTGGCTGATGTGGGACTTCCTAACCTTAACAAATACTTAATAACGGTTGCTTTTCTAGTTAGGTCAAAAGAAATAACGTGTCAGGAAAAACAGATGGGTCATTTTTCTAAAACAATATGATATTTGTAGCGTCTTGGGGAACTTACACATCTGAGTTATAAGTGTGGCATGGTTCCATTTTTCTAATACAGGATTAAAAATGCGGCAGATTTGATGTGATATGATTTGCCCTGTTCCCTTGAAGTACTATGGTAAACAGTTTCTAAATCCCAAAGGTGCACTATTTGCAAAATCATAATAGTGAAGACAGGACTGCTTCAACACGCTTATCTAACTGCTAAACTCTTCAGCCAAAGTTTCTGCTGAAGGCAGCTGAGATATATTTAAACCAGTTTTCCCCTCTCTTGAAACAAATGCCAGTAGAGTTTAAGTCTGGATGTATGCCAGTTAGAGCAAAGTGTTATCCTAACCAGGGTGCTAGGACTCGTCGCGGGGTTTGGAGGAGCAGTTTCCAACCTACTTGAGTATTAATCCACAGCAACTCATATTTCTGATACTGGAAACATATGGATTTTTTGTTGGTGGTGTTTTTCGTTACTCTTTGTTTTGAGGCTAGGTATTTTGTCATACTTGTATTGACAGCTCTGTATTTCTGCGTCCAGACACTCACAAATCCACATTATTGTCTGCAAATGTACTGGCTTTCTCAAGTTAGACTGTCTCAGTGTTTAGCAAGTGAACTAATTATGCTGTGACTCAGTTAATGGGTGATATACTTTGTCTTTTCAGCATGAACCATATGCATCTAAATCTGTTACGCGAACAAGAATCCCAGCATATAGGGGACCGACTTCAACTAACATTTGTTCACAACTAAGAAAGCGCAGTTTGAATTACGCCAGCGCCCTTGCGCTGTGGGATCCAAATTGTATTTCCAGCTTTAAAGAAAGTAGCTGTATGTGAAATTTGTGCGTGAAAAATTGCTGTGCTCGAGTTTCAGCCAGTATAAAAATGAACAAATAGAAAATACTTGGCTGGATGGTACCTACAAAACTTTTATTTTTTAGTATATTAGATATGTGATTTGGGGGTCTTCAGTCACTGAAGGAATCATCAAAATCAATTTTTTTCTGCCTGTTTAAAGAATGTTCATAACTTATGGAAGGAAGGAAGCCCTTTGTATGTGATTTAAAGTGTCGAGCAAGGGACGCTTTGGGGTGGATGATGGGTAGACCCAAGATTTCAGGAGATTTTACTGCAATGAGAGAGCAGCAGAACTTGATTTTCTGCGTTGATCAGGCCCTACACAGGGTTTTAAGATCTGTACTGATGCCAAATAAGATCATTTGTGGAGTAACTTATGTGCCAATATAGTCTGAATATTTTTATACAGTATATATGTTTCTATTATTTAAAAGAGGAAGGGCTTAGTCTCCTGAGCCCAGCACTGCCAAATGTATATGCAGAAGCATGTCCCAGGATAGCATGCTTTTGTAAATCTCTGCCAGGAACCAGGGTTTCTAACAAGGGAGCGTTCCAGTTAGATTTTCAAAGGGGTCGGTGTTGCCAAACGCCAGGGCAAGCAATGACCACGTCCAGAACATATGCAGGAAATGTAACCAGTTGCCCGCAGAGGCATAATGCAAACATAAATGGAAATGAATCTCATGGATATTCACAAAGTAACAGCAGGAAAAGCAAGTGGATAGTCCTTTTCTTTGCACATTCATCATTTTCTGCTTGAGGCTTTTGTTATGAGAATTGCTTTATGTATAGATTATCTTCCAGGCCTTAGAAACAGGTGGAAATAACTGTCACAGCTGACACAATATAATAGTAGCTAAGATCACGTGTAGCTGGTAAACTGACAGCACTGGGCAGCGTCCCACTCAAGCACTGCATGGCTCTGTCCAGGCAGTCGTCTAAACGTGAAGCAGCAAAGTCCCATCT